TAAACCGAAGGAGCATCCATGGATGCAATGAAAAGCACAGATCCTTTCATGATTCACTTTGGTGACCCTGCTCTCTCTCCCTGTTTCACCTTTCAAAGATATTTCAACTCTGAAATCTATTGTGTTTCCTCTTCCTCACCCTATTCCACCCTGGCTTTTAAGGTCCTCTCTGCCCTGATTTTATCTCCAGTGCTGTACATCACATATGAGCTGTTAGCATTTCCATTTAGAGGTCACAATTTTTCACCAGCTCATAAGGACACACACTTTGAGGCAATCCTGTAGGAGCCCAGTTCTACAGATATGAACAGGAAAATCCTTTTTGTTCATGTGAAGTTATAAATCACACTCAGCACCCTACATTTCCATAGCAGAACACCTACATTGCTTTTTTGAGCATTGTGTGTGCATATATATATGGATATATATACACATATAAACCCCACACATATATGATATGTATAGATGGAAGTACACACACCCCGTGCATGTCAATATATAAAGAATATGTTATTGGCTCCCCTGCTTCTCTGATTTTTCAATTTAATCTCTCTTTTTTTTTCTGATAACAGCACTCAGGAGCTGTGAAAATGGGTATTTTTGAATAAATGGCATTTCACCTTCCCAAACATTACTCTATATAAGACATATGTGTGAATGTATAGTTTGTTTGCACTATAATAATTATTCCTCTAATTCTGTAGTTGAAGATCTTGAATTAAATTTTGCTTCTGATCCAAGAAGGACTGATTACAAAAGAAAAATGTAAGAGTTTCTCCTTCCTCCTTCTTTATAACAGGAGTCCCAGCGGGCACATCATATTTTCTATTCTGCAGGCACGGGTTTGACTTACATGTCTCCTCACAAAACTGTGTTGGAGTCAGCTTGATTATAAGTAAATTTCTATATGGAAGGAAAGAAACACAGAAGAAAATTCCGGACTCTGACTGCCCTCTGCAAATGTCCACTGAATAACTCAGTTACCTTCAAGATTCTAGGATGTTCTGATTTCAGAGTACCACTGCAACATAATAAAAAATCAGGTTGCTGCTATTTATTTCTTTATTGCTAATAACAGTAAGGCACCAACACAGTGCAAGGAAAGGAAATTGTCTCTTGGTAAAGATTAAAACTGTAATTTGGGATCTTGTTCGAAGACAAGGTCTAATTAAAAAAAAAAATTCTATTAAAGGGCTACAAAATTATCTATGTGTCTAGTCATCAGTCAGACATTATTAAATTAGTTCAAGCTATTGTTTGCTATTTTTTCATGCCCAGGAACTTTAAAAAGAAAAATATTCAAAAAATAGTCCTAAAATGAAGAACTGGTCAAAAGTCTTGAAACTCATACAGAGGAGAGAGAAATAAATAAACCTTGGGCATCCAGTTTTACTCAGTTATTAAATAAAATATCTCAAAGATCCTGTGCCATGCAAAAAAAAAAAAAAGGTTGGGTTTGTTGGCTCTGATTCTGGAAAGATCTCCTATCAGCACTAGTTTTTAGGAAATTTTATCTTAATGTGTCAGAAAGATCATGAGGAATTCCTGAGAGAGATCCTTTTTCTTTGCTCCCGGCAAACCTTCGCTCGTTTTGGCATGGGGGAAGAAAATCTCAGGCACACAGCTTCCAACATAAAGTCCAATTTTATCTGTGCAAATTCTGGGCACTACTGGTCTCACTCTGCCTCTGCTTAAGCATTCTGCAGTAAGCAGCCTACATGAAAATTCTCATCTCTCAAACCATAACACGAGAGTTTATAGCCTCAATATACCACTGCTCTGCCCCTCAGCTCAGCCTGTGGACGTGTAGCTCCCCAGCCAATTCCCAGCATGGAAATCAAGTGCTGTGGGAATGATGATCCTGAAAGCTGAGGCTCGAGCCAAAGGAGACAACTCCTTTATCCCATTTCTCTTGCTCTCAATTGATCTTCATGACCAAATTGCAGCCTCCAACTTCTGCATTTGCTTGGACAGGGTATGTGAGAACTCATCTGTGTTTGTTACACTTTATGTACTGTGATCCTGATGTCTTCTGTCCCATGGTCACAACTTCAGGCAGCAAAATCTTTTTTTTCTTTCCTTTGTTTGGGGTCAGTTGTGACTTTACTTTGAGATGCTACATCTCTCTGAGGAATTGCACACACACCATGGGCTGCCTCACAGCACCTTCAGTTCTCCACCAAGCCAAGACTGAAAACACCAAATGGGCCCAGTAGAAAAGCCTACAAATAAAGCATTGATCAGGAAGGAGCAAGCCTAGAGCATATATTAGAAAATAATCACTTTGTCATCATTTGCTAGACCATGCTGATGGAAAACCTTAAAAAAAAACAAACTTCAAATGTTGGATGAAATTATGTTTATGGGTTTTTCCCCTCTATGGAAAGCCACTTTTATTTCCATTAAGTCTGATGTTCCACTTTTTTGCTTTAAAAACAGAATAAATAAATATTATACCAGAGCCTAAAAGCAGAGTTAATTAAAAATACCAAGATAATTGACAATTCAATAGTAAACTGCTAGTGCAAGCTCTGAAGTTTAAATTGGAGTTTAAAATTCCTCCAGGTTTTGCTAATCTTTGATGCCCAAGGGAACAAAAGAAGTTTTTGTTTGGTGAAAATTTATGATTTTTACATGACAATCCCCTTTATTTAGCCTGATTTCCTAAGGAAATAGGATACTTCGTCAAACTGTCTGTCATTCCTCCCTTAATTACTTTTGAACATGCTTGCCAATTTCCAACACATTTGAAAGGGAGATAAGTCCCAGGAACAGCGAGGTCTTGCAAGTTTCACTGAAGTGCCAGGATAAAGGAGTGAGCCGTGAAGGGCTGGATCCATCCAGTGAGGGGCGCGGAGCCCCCGGCTGCTGCACGCCCTGGCTGCGAGGGAGAGCTGCAAGCCAGCACAGGCAGGCATCCAAGGAAGCCACAGGCACACAAGGACTGGCGTGAGTAAAGGGAGCTGCTGCTGCTCTGCTGGGAGAGGCAAACATATCCTGACTGAAATCCACAGCTCATTTTCATGATCCTTATTTTTTTTATTTATTTTTTTTTTCTTGGCCTATGAAGTCATTTTCTGTTTGTAGTTTCAAGATACTGGAAGTTTTTATTGAGTCAAGGAAGAAAATAGCCATTTACTAAATGCCATGCCATGTGGAGAATGACTATTACTGTTTGGGTTTTACTAATATTAGTAGTAGTAGCAATAATATTTTATCATTTGAAAGTTTCCTGTTCATTTTCAACTAAGACATGGTTATTTAAAACAAAACACTTTTTGAGCAAATCTTTTCAAATTTTTGTGTTTGTTGTTGACCAAACTCACTTCTGTCTCATCACAAGGTAAATTTGTAATACACTGGTAAATTTGTAAAATCCATGCAGAGCAGAGGTTACAGGCAGACAGAGAAGGAACAGGGAGACAAAACATGCTGTAGATTCTAAAAAACATACTTACTCATATAGATAATGACAGGTATATTAGGGGGAAAGAAGGATTAATTTCTTCAGCTGTAAAGGACCTCACAGTCTATTACCATCAGCTTCTGGAAGCCAGTAGCCATCATGGCAGATGTCTTTTCTTTTCCAGTACTTCAAGAAATTAAACTGTCAGTCTTCATTTCAGCTGGTGGTTTCACCATGACATGATGCTGTGCTTAAGAGGGTTTGAATTCAAAATAATTCCCTTGGCTTCTCTGTCTCCCTATATCGGATCGGTATCTCCTGATGAAATCCAGGATATTGCATTCGAGACATCAAGTCAAATGAGGGCTGGCAAGCATGAGGTCGTGTCGTATTTTTGGCAATGAAGTACTCCTACTGGAAGCCCTGGAGGACATCCAGAGCCTTAAACTCCATTTTATCATCTGGGCTGAGGAACAAATACATTAAGCAATGCAAGACAAGACCCTCTCCCCTCAGTCAAGACAAGGGACAACCCCCCAACCTGTGCAGTTCTGCATAGTTTGGCAGAGTTACGTTCATGACAAATCTCTCTTCTCTGCCTTCTGAGAAAAGCAACAGAAAATGACTGTTTAGAGTGTCCTTTCAGTACAAACTTACTTCTCTTGGTCTTCCCATAAATTTTGCTGTACCAATTTAACACTGCAGCTGTGCAAACTGTTAGTGACTCTGTGACCCCAGGGAGTGTAAATTTGAGGGAGAAAGTGAGGACAGCATGACCTCTCCACATCTGGATGTGGAATCCATAATTCAGGTGGTAGTGTATACTGTGGGATCAAGGGAAGTCTTTCTTCCCAACGCTTTATGATTTAGTGGTGGCAGTAAAATTCTCACCAGGCCAAAGGTGGGAAAGGTCTCACTGTATTTAACTCTGAGGGAAACCTCTCAGTGACCCTCAACACCCTTAAAGATTATTTCTCTCCACTTGTAAACAGAAATTTACATTTCAGAGTTTCCTAGAAAAACATCTAAATTGTTAAGCCCCTGCTTCAGGACTAGTGGGGATCCATGGGATTTCCCAGCCCTTCTGCCTTTCTAACCTCCTAAAGAAACTCACACACCTTCCCCTGAGTTTTGTTGTGACCCTCATTCCAAGTCACTCAGAGATGCTTTAAAGGCTGGTGTCAAACATTGAGGCCTCTGAGGATTAAGGACTGTATAGGCAGAAAAATATTTCTTCCCAGAAATGGTCCCATGCTCTGAAGTGTAAGGATTGATAACCCCTGTAAATTTTCTCTCCCTGTGCAACTGCTGATGTGATTCATATTCATGTAAGTGCCTAATCCTTTCCTGAATTATTTGCCTTATATCAACTTGAGTTCACAAAATAACTTTACAGGTAAGTGCCATTTTCACCCCTAAACTTTCCAGAATGCTCTTGCCAGTGGCTTTTGAGCAAAGTACTGATTTAAGGCTGATGGTTTGAGCTTTGAAAACCACAGGGTCACTTTTTACAGAAAAAAAAGAGACCAGAGAGGTCTAATGGCTTACATTCCAGTAACAAAACTCATTGACCAGGGACAAAAATTACCTGATTGCACAGAAAAATATCCCAGAGTAACTAAGAAACTTTCTTCTAAAGCCATTTTACAAATGCAGTGAAGAAAGTAGTTGGGATTATTAATTCCTCCTGGACATATCTCTCTCTGTCCTGCACACTCCTCATCCATCGGTTGAAGTAGATGCAAATACGTTTCCTTCAAGGGCTGCCACAGATTTTTCTGTGCTTTTAGAGAAAAGAAAGAAGAAATTTTAGCTCTTTAAAATCACCCTTAGCTCTTCAGACACTGGAAGAGGAAAGAGTCTATCCCACAGCATGACATGTCCTGTCACCTGCCCTGTCAGACAGCACTCACAGGCTCATCACCTCCCTTCTTGCTTCCTCTTGAGCCTGCCCTTAAAACTGTTCATACATTTATACATTTATACAATCAATGCACAGCAGAACCCCTCATGTGCACAGACACAACAAAACATCTGCACTTTGTCATTTGGTCTGTTACGGTGATGTTTACCAGCACGGAATTCATTTCAGGGAAAAATGAAACAAATGTAAAGACTTAAGAGAAAGTAGGTTACCATGAGATGAGAGAATCTGATCACTTAGCATTTCAGGCAGGTGTAGTGGCTTTCAAGGAGTGTAGAGTAGACAGCGATCAGCAGTGTCTCCAAATCTGGTCAGGCACTATTGTAGGACACAATGTCCAATGAGGTTTTTTTTTAAAAATTATATAAATACATTTGTTAAACAGACTCAAAAATGTAATTTAGGATTGCTTAGGTTAGTTCAGCAGAGATATAAAACCTGGCATTAAGTAGCACAAGAAGATCAGGGCATTGGCTCCTTTTGAAAGTGTCTGACATCTTGAAAAAACGGCTTTATTTTGAAAGAATCTACTTAGAAGATCTATTTCCCTTTTGTTTTAGACTGAGATGCATTATCTAGTGTCCTGGAGGTTCATTATACTGTGAGAAAAACAAAAACAGCAGTGATATAAGACTGGTAATCCCTTCAGTGTATATCTTCTATGTTTAAAATGCACATACCCCGGCCCTGTTTTTCCTGAGCAGCACAGCAATAAACCAAAATAAGTAGTGTCCTTGGTCAAAAACCACTGACAGAAATCAGAAATTCTATCACTTCATGGTTTTTATTCCACCCCACAAGTTTGTTATTATTATCCCTTTGCTGCTCCTCTTCTTAGCTCTCCTGTTTTCCCAAGACCTACAGCCTGCAGATCTTCTCTACCCTCTCTGCAGAACATGCACTTCAATGAATTTATTCTGCTTCACCTACAGCCCAATGCTATGGATGGTGGTTTCAGGGTTTGAAGCAGTTTAGTTTCAAGCAGTTTAAGTGGCTTTTCCACTGAACTCAGTTGCCTGTAACATCCAGGAGCCTGTGACTGACCAGCTCAAAGTCACACCACCAGTGTCATTCAGCATTGCAACGTTGGCCAAAATGATATTTTGAGATGCAGGAGAAAAGAACAAAACCATTTCACTACTCAGGAAAAGCTCAGTAAGGACATTTCTGTTTTTTCCATTTTTCATCTTTTGTAAAAGTCCATGAGGGTATTTGCTAGCACTGATTGATTGATTGATCAGCTTCTAGGACTGACATTTTTCTGTATATCCAATTAAAATTGCACATGAACTGACTTCTAACACCTGCCCTCTTTGTCAGGCTTTCTTCCCTTCTCTGTGGGTAGGTCAGAGAAAGTGAGATTAAGATTATACAGAAGAGAGAAATTAATCCAGAGAGGAAATTGAAGTGGTGAAAAAATCTCTTTGCAGGAATATGACAGTTCTTTCTGTAGATATTTTCAGAATCTCAGAAAGCGATTAACTGGCAATGAAAAAGAACTTCTGTCTCAGCTACTCACCACAGACAGAAAGAACAAACATTTAGAGAATTTACACTAATGCAATCACCAACCTAGACATTGCTTTTACACAGCTCTTTGTGCTTGTTCTTGAAACCAGAGGGAAAAAAATATTTCTATGCTACAATTAAATATGAATTCATTTGTATTTTTCCTCATCGAGTGTCATAATGAAAGAGAGGAAATGAAATGTAACTTTACTGTTCAATCAGTCAAAGCTGACAACCAACAATAAAAGCCATTAATCTAAATTAGCAGCACAAGAAAAGAATGACACAACACTGTCTCCAGGACTGGATGGAATTGGTACCTATCACTGAGGGCTACCTAATGAATTCTGAGTCACTGTTAATTTGCAAGGATCATTATTGCAATTTACTACTGCACATGATGCTTCCTGCTTTTCAGAACAAATTGTCCAAGCACATATCACCACTTGGAACATGTTTTTGAGAAGATGAGGATGTCATCTGAAAGTATCAGATCTTTTCATGGGGCAAGTAGTCAGCTCTTGAAAAAAAAAAAAAAGAAAAAAAAAAGTTGTTATTTTTCATTTCCTTCCCAAAACTCCCAGTGGGTTTTAGTTTGCTGTCTCTGCCCCCAGTGTCCTGTCAGAACAGCTTTCCAAGCCTTTCCTGCTCCCTTCCCAGAGGTTCTACATGGCAGCTGGTGACATTCCCGCTGCTCTCTGGCCCATACACCTGGGCTTGTTTGTTTCCAGCAGGCAAAAGCAGTGTGGGGGCAGACCTCTGCTTCAGAAACTCTCAGAGGATTCTCCAAGAGTTCCTGCAGCTGCAAGCACCTTAGAGCCACTCCAGAGACTTCCTATGCAGTTTCTCACTGCAGGATTCTGTGTTTAGTGATCCCAGTCAGGTGTGGGCTGCCTCAACAAACTGGAAAATCCTCCATTCAATCCACAAGCTACAGGAGAGATCCAGCAGTACCTTCTCATCCAACCCTTCCCTTTTTCTTTACAAGCAGCACAGACAGACCTCCCTTTTTAAAAAATATTCCCTATGCTTCTGTATGAATTGCTTGTAATGACCCACTCAGGCATGCATTACTCCTTGAAATGCAAACGTAATCATCTGCAGTGCTCAGCCTGATGAAACACAAAAAATGCTTCCACAAATGTTTGTTTGTTCCTCCACAAGAAAATGTATGGTAGAAGTCTCTTGCAATCTAGGTGACTTGAGAAGAAGGTTAAAGAACTGTGGTTTTGCAATTTGATGCCTGTCTGAAGCCTCTGATTCCAAAGAGTCTGAAAAATCCAAAACTGCTCCAAAAAACAAACTCACAAAATAATCCCACAATGAAAACAAACAAGAAAAGCCCAAAAAGAAGCAAAAAAAGAGCAAAAATCTAAACAAAAAGAAAGGAAAGAAAACACATACATATATTTTACTGAATAGACAGGGACCTGAACATTTTCCTCTGACTGGATACAAGTGTTTTACTTAAGTTATGGAGTTCATTCTCTAAACTTTAGCATCCTGCTGATAAAGGATGGAGGCTGGAGAAACAACCTTCAGCTCTCCACAGTACAGAGTATTTTGGGCTCCTAACACCTGCTTCAGAGCATTAAACCTTTCTATTACATGAGACAAAATTAATTGCTTAGAGGATGTTGTATAACAAAATTCATAAGACTCAGCACAGATTGTACAATGTGAGAAATGTTCTCTTTTTGTAACCAATGAAACCTACTCAGTATCACCCCTGTAGTTTGGGAAATGGTTTGCTGCATCCTGAGTGGATGCCTCTCTCAATTTGTGGATGAATTGATGGCTCACACATGACTGACTGCACTTGAGGAGTGACTCTGATTTAATGGCAGCCTAGATCTGGGTGCAGTTATTAATGCTTCATTAAGCTGGTGCAATGAAAATCATCTTGGGTTTCAAACTGACACTGTTTATAAAGTCTAGAGAGATGTAGGTACTTACACATTATGATTTATTTAATTTTTAAAATATTTCCTCACCATAGGATGTATAAAACATGTTTTTGAAGTACCCATTGTGTCCCTGGACCCTGAGGGAGCAGAGGATATCCACATTAGGAAGCTGTCTACATACTTAGAGTGTACATGTTCAGCATGATTGTTTCAAGTGTTTTGAGCTAAGGAGCATCACAAAGGCCAGGATGGTAAAACCCTAGATGAGATGTTAGTTCCAGACTAGTGCTGGAATTTGGTACTCTGAGAGACTGAGCTGTTAATGGTTAGTGGCTCAAACATTGCAAAGATCACTGATGGATTTTGCCCACTATGGCAAACTGCTTATCTGCAACCACCAAAACCTCCCCTTGCCCTCCAAATCTGAGCTGTGAATCCCTGTGAGCATGGAAAGGTGCTCAGCTCCCTGTGTGCAGTCAAATGAATGGTTCCCTCAGCTCCACTCACTGCTGTGACCACATCTCCTCAACTGCAGAGGCACCCAGTGAACGCTGAATGCTGACACCTAAATTAATTTCTCTTGACATGGAACTGAATCTTGTTCCAGGAGCATAATACTTTCAGAGATGTTAGAACGGGCATTACGCCTCTAAATAGGCATCATTAATCCAACTGTTCTAACAGATGCAGTGAAAAATAGGGGCAAAACCTCTGCAGACTTCTGGAGAGAAATTCCACTGGTGCAGACTGTTTGGAACATCTGTGATTTCTGTAATTATTGCCTGTTTTTCCTGCTCAGATGTGCCCGTTCACAGATAAAGCATTTCCAAAATTATAAACAGAGGAATAAAAGGCTGAAAAGACACTTGTTCTTAATTATTTACATTTAAGGCAGGGTATAATTAGTTTTACAATTGCTAGAGCATTGACAGCAAGCAATTGCTGTCTTCAGTCCATCCATAAACAAGCTTCTCCGTTGGTAATTGGAAGAGACCACACATGCCATGGATTACTGGAGCTGTATAATGATATGGGCTTTACCTTTGCTTTTTGCTTTGTGTACTTGTTTGGGTTTTTTTCTGTGCTTTATGATTTTCTGCTTGTCCATTCTAGTCAGCACACCTGAGTTCAGAACATCCTTTATTGAAAATAGGAGGGTCGCATCGATTGTAACATTTAAAAGAGACCGTTTGAGAAGACAGCTTAGGAAATTACAGAGATTGTTAAACTAGAATGCAGCCCATTCCCAAAAGAAAGGAAAAAGTCAACACAGCACCAATTCTAGCAAGGTGACATTCTCCCAAACTTCATTAGCTGCAAAGGCATGGATTTAAGTAAGAATCTGATGGACATCTTTCTTAGGCTGCAGTGCGACATACATTTGTCTTGGAAAGGAATATGCTGGCACTATTTTGCTATTCAAGGGAAAGAATCTAGTCTTCTGGAAGAAGTGCTAGCAGTAGCAGTTTGGTTTCCAGAACTCTCCCAGTGGTAAGGAGGTGCTGGCAGAAGTGGAAATGATGTACAGATGAACTCACATTGAATGACTGATAGTCAAAACACAGAGAGTGACTTTAATAGTATTGTCAAAATACAAAGCAAGTCCATAATGTTGCAGAAGGTAAAGGGTTCTCACTTATATTTGTTTCTTTTTCCCCTGAAGAGCTCATAAAAGATGACAAAAATGCTAAATTCTCCTGATTTTGCATCTCTGTGTGAATCACTGCCATAATCTTAGGGACCCCTTCTCTTGCTAATTGCTGGAGAGCTAATGGCACAGTGTTGCCACCCTCACACAGACTCATACACAAATGCTTCCCCCACCATCTACAGACATTATGTCATGTCATCTTTATAATATCTACATAATAAAGGAGAAGTGCCCTAGAAATATTCAATTAT